CCCGTACACCTTTGCTCCTCCCTTTCTTTCAGAGTCTCAAAGCAGGGTGTGTGTTGTGGCTTAACAAGGTGGGATAACATCACAGAGAAGTATGTGCGTATTTTAAGTTTGTTTGAATATTCATTTGTGCAAGTGTGGGGCTGAGAGCAGCTTTCTTCCTTACTTCTTGCATCTTTTTATTTTTCTGTACGTTGGACTCCTAAAATAAGGACATGCTATGTCAACCAACTGCATTTTGGGTTTAGTGTCTTCTGTGCCTGCAGGTCTTGTTTCTGGCTGGCTGCCAGACTGATCTTTAGCTTTAAGTTTTCTATATCCCTGTCTAGGGCCTGGTCTTGCGTGGGAAGTTTAGCTGTTCATGCTTTACAAAGGAGATACATGCTCAGTCTCTGGTTGAAGTTGTCTGTTCTCTTATTTTATTGGTGAGAAAGAGGAAGCTGGTTATTAAAAACAGCTGGCTTCATAGGAGTCCTTTTGGATGTATTTGTATGCTGCTTCCTCTGAGCTTCTTTAACTGTACCTCCACTCCCCCTGAAGTAACAATCTTTTTTGTGTGTTTTTGTGTGCATTTTCTTCTTAATGGAGCATATACACTAGGGTTATTTTAATTTACTTGTTATAGCTTCTTAGGAGGGAGGGGAAAAACAACACACGTAGTCTCTGGCACATCAGAAAAGCTTTAAGTGAGCTATAACTTGTTTTGCATCTGATCCATAGTTTTTACTGCAAGTGTGTGACTGCTCATTCTATGTGTCTCCTCAGGTGTTTGGTGGTTGTGATTTCCCCTTCACAGGAAAATCTTCCATCAGTCAAGTACTGAAAATGCTTTCTTTATTTTTAGTAGTGCTGTTCCTAGTTTCATCATCTATTGTTTAGTTCAGTGATTTTCAACCTTTTACATCTTATGGTACACATAAACTAATTACTAAAGTTCTGCGGCACACCAAAAAATATATTTTTTGCCAATCTGATAAAAAATAGGTATAATTTTGATTCACACTAGATGGCTATTGTTGTATTTGCTGTTGTCATTTTTTTTTTAATTTGACAATCTCAGGGCAAATAAGTCATTGCCCCTGACTAAAGGGTCACATATTGCATGTTTTAAAACTTCTTTTGGCACACTGGTTGAAAATCGCTGATTTAGTTGGCATGCAGACAGCTGTATGTCTGCAGTAATCTAAACCTGGGAGGAAATATCCTCTGCATCCAAGGAGTTCATTATTAAGTCTCTGTGATGAAACACAAAGAAAGCGTAAACTCTCCTGAACCTTGGAGTTACTTTAGTTATCCATAGAATTTGAAGTCAAGCTCCAAATTTACTGAAATCACATGCCTGAGCCAAGAAACAGTTTTGTCTTCCTGTTTCTTGATTTTTATAGCATCAAATAATTGGACAGTTTTAGGGCCAGAGGAACCATAGAGATCATCTAGTCTAAACTGCCTATGTTTTAATCTAAGCCTCAGAGAGGAACCTGCAGTCTGTGATGTCCTGTAGAGTGATGGTCTGTGAGTTGAGCAAGACCCCACAGCAGTTCTCAACCTGTGGGTCGCGAACAATGAAAATACATCCTGCATATCAGATATTTACATTACGATTCCTAACAGTAGCAAAATTATTGTTATGAAGTAGCAACAAAAATCATCTTATGGTTGGGGGTCATCACAACATGAGGAATTGTATTAAAGAATCGCAGCATTAGGAAGGTTGAGAACCACTGCTAGGACATGGGACGCTTCCAGTTCTACCCCATTCAGGAATTTACAGCCTCTGGCTAATTTGCCAGACTAATTGAATCCCTCCAATTACACTCAGCATTGCTGGTTATGTGACAGGTTCCTGATTTTTTTTAAAAATATTTTGTGTGATTGAAAATGCTCCATAAAGTATATTTCATTAGGTCCTTTTTTAAGATATGTTTCATACAAAAATTACATCATATGGAAAATTGTGGAAAGAGAAATATATCATAATTCTTCAACTGTAATACAATCAATCAGTCACCATTTCAGTTTCCTTTTAATCATTATTTTTTCCCTATAAGTTCAAACCTGGTATTTAGGCCACTTGGTAACCTCTTTCTCTTCCAAACACCAGCTAAAATTAAAGTCCAAGTACTTTTCTATGCCGTTTCAAAATCTTCCTAGGTGTTCAGTGACTGAGCACTATTCTGCTAGATAGATGTTACATTTTCTGCTTATTCTTTTCCTTTCGGTTGAAGTCCCAGGATTTTCTGGATTCTTCAGTGGGCTGCCTGTCTTGGAGAAAGTGTCTTAGCCTGTTTTCCCAGAAGCAGAGCTCGAGATAAGGATTTAGTGTGCGTGGCTTATTAAAAGGTTTCTCCGCTGAGAAGTGGAATAGGGAAGGGGAGATGAGTGAGGATGTGGTCTCAGAGAAGGTCTAGCCTTGGGCTGATCCATAGGCCCCTCTGGAATTGACTTGCATAAAGGTTGTCCTCTCTTGAGGTGAGGGGGAAACCAAGCTTGTACTTTTTTACCCAATCAGCCATTGGCTGCTCCTGAGGGGAGGGGTGTGTGCAGCCTCTCAGGCCTCTGGGTGGAGCCTAATGGCCAACGGTGTTTGACTGGACAAGGTTGCGGGTATAAACTGTGAGCAACAGTACTCACCACAGCTGAGGGGCAGGGGGTGGGCCTGCCTGGTAAAGAGCATCTGGCACCTGGCAGGGCATATACAGTGCGCACCGAATCGAGCTGTGCACAGGTGGCTGGAAACTCCCCAGGGCAACATGGAGCTGCCTGATGTGTTTGCCAGACTTGGTCCTGAACTAGGTGCACCCTCTCACCACAGCCCGGTACTTCTCAGCCACAAGTGTGAGGATTGTTGGGGAGGCAAATGGGACCCCTTTCTGCTACATGGGCCCTGTACAGTGGAGTTTGTCCTTGGAGTATGCTGTGTCCCAGGCGTCTCAGGTGACCCATTGAGAATCACTGGACATGAAAGACTCACAGTCCCTTTGTTCTTGCTGACCCGCATCTGAGAGTCCAGCACCTCCCTGAGATATGTACTTCCCAGGGTCCCTCTGCCTGCCCCCAGCAGGAGGAACCATCAGCAAGTCACATTGCAGCACTTTGCAGGCTGAACTTGGGGGAGAGAGGGTGAGGTGAAGGTTTCCTCTGGCTCCTTCCAAAACCCTGCTACCTGCTGAGCCAAGTTGGAACCTCATCCAGTTCCAGCACCTTCTGCTGGGTTCACAGACTCAGCCTGTAGAACAGAGCAGTTCACATGTTGGGAGCTGGACAGGTGAGGCAGTAGGCCTGACGGGAATTGGCTAATCAGGCTCTGACATTAAAATAAAACATTTACAATGTGGAAGCTTACAAAAAAGTGGGCTTCATTCATCTGCAGGCTGACCAGTTTGCAACTTCTGCACCTATTCATTGGACCTTCTGTGGCCTGTAACTGTGCTTCTGTTTCCCTGGTCTGGAGTATTTTTCCCTTGACACCCCATTTGTGGGCACTGTTCATCCTTACACACTCAGACCAGTCTCTCTCCTCCTTGCTTCTGCAGGGGTCTTGGAATGGTAGACAGTGTTTGTGTGTTCTCACTGGGGGGTCGTATTTGGTGGTATTTCTGGCAGAGATGCCATGTGCCTGCAGGTCCCAGGACAGTGCTCACTGTGAAGAGCTGTCCTGCCCGAGTGCCCTAGGGACAGCATTGATGACAACCATATTTCACAGGTGAGGGCTGGGGATTCACTTATCAGGTAGGTCATGAATATTTGTGACTGTATGAGCCAGGTGCTACTCCAGGTCCCAGGGGTGACAATGGACAAGCAGAGGAGAACCTGCTTTCCTGGAGCATAAACTAAGGAAAGTACAGGCCACATTCCTAGTGGTGAGTCTTTGAGGACATGAGCATTGTGCTGTGTGATTCTGTAGAGGGCAGCCAGGAGAAGCCTCTGGAGCCGAACTGGAACCTGAGTGGGACCACCTGGAGGGAGCAGCAAGTGCAGGGGCCCTGCGGGGGACTGAGCTTGTTGGAAGAGCACAAACAAGCAGGTTTGGTGAGGGAAGTGGTATTAGGAGATGAGGTTAGAGAGGTTGGCAGGGGCTGGGCCTGTGGGACCTTGTGGCCTATGGTTAGGAGACAGGAAGTGGGTGGTCAGGGTCAGGAGTTGGGTGGCATTAGCCTGGGACTGGTACTCTGGGCCTTGCTCTCCCCTCTGCATCTGGCCTGGGGGCTGCCTCAGCGTTAGTTCCTGCAGGACTGGTGGGGCCTTGCTAAACTCCCTTCATGAGACCCAGAGAGGGAGGTGCCTGGAAGTGTGTGTTTCTTTCAGTTGACCTGGTGCCTGGGTTGTTTACTTCCTGCTTCATTTCTGAGTTCCCCATTCTGCTCATCTTCTGGCCTGCAGGCCCTAACTCTTCCCAGGAGGGGCTGGACCTGCAGGTGGATAGAGGGTGGGCTGTCACTTCCACTGCCACCCCCTCCCCCTTGGCACAGCTCTCACTTTTTCTGATTCCTGTGGTTTTCTGGCCTGAACCTCCCTGTCCGGGGCTCCACATCCTCTGCTCAGCTCCTGTGCCTCCCAGAGCGCCAGGCACATTCTGTGTGTCCGAGGGCCTTATGTGACGTGAAGATTGGGAAAGCTTTACCCTTTCAAAATTCAGTGTCAGTCCTTTAGAGTTCCTCAAAATAAACGTTTATTTCTGGTTCCAATATGTTGTTTATATTTTTTCTTTGAAAAATTGCAGTAAAATATACATACCATAAAATGTACCTTCTTAAGCATTTTTGAGTGACGGTTCAGTGGCATTAAGTACATTCATACGTTGTGTAGCCATCACTGTCATCCATCTCCAGGACCCTTCATTAGTGCCAGTTGAAACTCGATACTCATAACCACCAACTCCTCATCCCCTTCCTTCCAGCCCCTGCAACCACCATTCTACTTTCCTTAACACCTTTTAATATTTGTCTGTCTTCAGAGGGAGCAGGACGATGGCTCAGAACTTTTGCAGGCAGCAGTGCCTCCCCACCCAGCTCCGCCTTCCCAGAATCTAGTAACATTGTTTTGACTCATCTTTGTTTTTATGGTTACTGCAGATGTATGGCAAATGATAGCAGCTTTCTATCTACAGAATTGATATAGGTGTCCTTTAAAGTACTGTTTCTATAAAGAAGAATCAATTCAAAGGAAAAAATAAGGAGAAGATATAAGGGTTACCTGGATGTGACCGGATCCAGGAGGGCAGCATACAGCAAGAGCCCAAAGGTGGGGAAAGGCTGGCAGAGGGCAGCTGCCCGGTGGCCAGAGGCACATGTGCAGAGGCAGGGGCTTGGAATATTGTAGGAGGGGTGTGGCAGAGGGAACAAAAACAGCAGAACCAGTTTTTTTCCTGCTAATCCCTTTACATGTTATTCTCCATTTAACCTAAAAACAAAATTTAACCCTTTGTAGGAATGACTTCCACTGCACAAATGGGGAGCCAGAGACCAGGAGCCTCACAGACAGTGGCAGAGCCACTTTCAAAACCAGGTCACTTGCTCTAGAGCCAGCTCAGACCTGGGAGGCAAGAGGAAATGAGCCAGCACTTCTCAGCTAACAGTTGGTCTAGTTCCTTCAAGACGGTTTTAGAACAGTTAGTGCCACTTGAAAAGCAGTGTCAAGGATACATGTGGGGTGTGGGGTGTTTGAGGAAGAGGTTAAGGCCATTTTCTCCCCAGGTTTGGAAGCCGGCCCCTCCCTGTGGACAGGGATGGGAGGCCTTTGTCCTTATTTTGAACTATCTATGTGCCTTCAGCACAAGGGAGTGGGACAGGGTCCAGACCAGGGGTCTACAGCCAGGCTGGACTGAGGCATTTTTCTAGGAGTATGAATATGGGCAGATTACTTATCATGCAGAGGTTTCCTTGTGTACCAAATGGGGTTTCAATAGAATTAAAATGAAATATTTGTGATGTGTTTCATTCTGTGACTGACACATAAAAAGCACATAATAAATGAAAGGTTTTTTCTTTAAAAAAATATAGTACCAGTAGTTTGAATGAAATAAGGCAACGGACCTTAACAGAATTCAGTCAGGGGAATTTCATTTGTCTAGATTCTTCTGACCGTATGTAACAGGAAACTCAAACCACAGTAGCTTAAATAAAACAATGGCATGTTGTTCTGGAGGCAGGAAGGATTTGTTTTGGGCATCTGTGTTGCAGGAGCTTTTCAGCAGTACTTGGTCTCTCAGTCCTCAGGTCTTTACTTCAGCTAGGTGCTCTCCTGGGGTAGAAGAAATCAGTTCCAGCCCTGCAGCCCCCAGAGTCAAGTTTAGTGGGGCACATGCTTGGGTCTGAACCTGGCAAACCAGGGGAACACACAGCTGATTCACCAGGCCCCAGGCACCTGCTTCCTAGTGTCCAGAGGAGTATGAGTACTCTGGGGCTCATGGTCTGAGAGTGGAGAAGAAATGACTCCCCCCACCCCAAAAAAAAAAATCTGGACACTGTTACTGAAAGAGGTGGGTGGAGACTGGGTTACCCAAACCAAGCACAAGTCCCCTACAGAAATGACACCCATGTGTGTGCATTGGCCTCATTCACCTGCTCATTGAGCTGTTTAGATGTTTGTGTGTGTGTGAGAGGGCAGATATACCCTGGGCAGGGTGCTTGAAGGGAGCTGCTGTCTGGGAGGAGGTCATGGGGGGATGTGAGTGAGAACGACGAGAGGAAAGAAGGCGACATGGCTGTGTGGCCGGCACTGAGCCTCAGCCTCCCAGCTGTAAGGTGGGTGTCCTGGGCCACCTCCTGTGTAGGACTTTGGGGATGGTTCTGAAAACACTTGGAAAGGCCTTTTTTTTCCATTTAGGACATTTGGTGCCTTTTTTTCCATTTAGGACATTTGGTAAAATTAAGTTTATAATTACAAACCTTCCCATAAAGAGAACTCTTAATTTCAGATGGCCTTACCTGTAAATTATTTGAACATTTATGAAGAAATAGTACAAGTCCTTCATAAACTCTTTTAGGAAGGAGAGAAGGAACGATCATTTCCTAGATCATTTTTTGTAAGGCCAACATTACACTGATTGCAAACCAGACAAAAACATTACCAGTAAAAGAAATGCATAGACCAAAAGCACAAAATTCCTTAACAAAATACTAGCAAATCAATTCCAGGAAAATAGAAAAAAGGATAATGTATCATGACCAACTGGGGTAAATCCCAGGAATGCAGGTTTGGTTTAACATTAACAAAGGAATCAATATAATTCATCATATCAACAGAACGAAGAGGAAAAGCCACAAAATCCCCATACGTGCAGAGTAGTCAACACCATTCATGAGAAAAATTTACAGCAAAGTAGGAATAGAAGAGAATCAATTCACAATCTGATAAAGGGCATCTACAAAAACATGTGCCAAAATCATATGCTAGTGCAGTAGGGCAAGAAGTGAACAAGCCACAGGCCCTGTCCTTGTCTGCAGTGTCTGAGGGAAGTTGGACAGGGAAAAGCATTATTGCCAAGTCATTGTGTTGGGGCCTTTGAACTCGCTGATCCATTTCCCCCAGACACTCTTCTTCCGGATGTCCAAGAGCCCACGCCTGCTGCTCCTTTACAGACATGTGGGTCTCTGCTCCCATGTCACCCTCTCCATGAGGCTTGCGCTCACCATTCCACTGAAAATTACGGCCTTTCCCTATCCTGCTTTAATTCTTTCCATAGCCCTATTTTCTAAGACCCCCATATTCACTCATTTTGGTTATTCTTGTTCTCTTCCAACTGAAATGTAAGCTCTGTGAAGGTGAGGATTAATGTATAATTAGTACTTTGTTGTATTCCCAGCTTAGAACAGTGCCTGGGACATTGCACATAACCCAATAAATATGGATTCAATGAATGAATAAATGAATTAGGGGCCCCAAGGAGACCAGTGGTGTGGAAACTGAGAGGAGGGTAGGTGAGGAGGATCAGAGATGGGTCCATGGAAGAGTTGCCATTTGCCATTAGCCATGAGAGTTGGGCAACATGAGAGCGGGTGAGAAGGGCATGTGAAATGGAGGGAACAGTATAAGCAAAGGAATGGAGCGTGGAGGTGTGAAAGCTGAGAGGGAGGGAGAGACTTCTCAGCAGAGATTAGACTTGAAGTTGGAAGTTCAGGCTCTTTCCAAGAATGTGACCTTGAACCAGGGACCCTCTCTTAGGCTTGAATTTTTGCTGTGGCTCTAAGGATGGTAGGGTGCGGGCATTGAAAAGGCTGCTCTTGGGGCCCTGACAACAGGGATCAGGGTCAGGCTTCATTAAGAGAAGAGGATGGACAGGGTCAGGCATAAATGATCACAATATGGAAGGCCCCGCATTTTCTTCATTTCTTTAAAGAGCAGAGTTCTTGTGCTCAGAATCATGCCAAATACTGAAGGGCCACAAGCCCCTTATTTGGGAGCCTCCTCCTGTTTTCTGAACTTGAGAGCTTACTGTGTGCAAGGCCCTGTGATAAGAGCTTTGTTATTGTACTAAACCACTCTATCCCTTTGCACCAGCTACTGTTTTTATTCCCATTGTATAGAAGAGTAAATGGAGGTCTAAAGAGGTTAAGTCATTTGCTCAAGATCACACAGCTAGTGAGTGGCAGCACCCTGCTGTCTCAGAAGTTCACCTTCCAGCAGATATCAGTAGGCAGAGAGCTGAGCAAGGCCATGTCCCATCACAGAGTGCTGCTCACCACTTAGCCACAGGTCTTCAACTGACTGGATGACGCCCACCACATTAGGGAGGGCAACCTGCTTTATTCATTCCACTGGTTACATGTTGATCTCATCCAGACACCAGGGGCCCAGAGAAAGACCTTCACACTTCCATGTAGGACTTGAGGAGTGTTGTTGAGTGGGGGATAGTGGGATAGACATGCCCACCAGCAGCTGAGATGCATGGATGAGCCAAATATGTGCGAGCTGGAGCAGCACACACCCTTGGCGGATAATTTAAACTGGAGTCTGCTCTCAGTAGAAAAGCCTTATGAGCCAGGACCTGCTTCTTTTTTTATTTTTATTTTTTTAAAATATTTTATTGATTTTTTACAGAGAGGAAGGGAGAGAGAGAGTTAGAAACATCGATGAGAGAGAAACATCGATCAGCTGCCTCCTGTTCTTATCAGCAGTGATTTATTTGTTGGGACTCTGTCTGAGATTAACTCACTGCTGTCAGGGAATGAGAAAAGAGGTGTCCCTAGTTTGTTCTTGAGATTAAGACTTGGAGAGGGAGTCTATATGCTAGACTGGGAGTCCAGATCTCTAGCTCCCAGCTGCTGTTAAACAAGACAAACCATGCTGTTTCTCAGGGTAAAAGCAGGAAATGATAAATTGTCTTTATGTTTTCCTAATAGACTTTACTTTTCAGAACTGTTTCGGGTTCATAAAAATATTGAGCCAAATTATGGATTTTCTGTATAGCACCCCTCCCCTCAGTATCCGCCATTATCAATATCCCACACTAGAGTGGTGCATTTATTACAAATGTTGAACCTACACTGCCACATTATTGTCCATAGTCCATAGTTTATATTGTAGTTTGTACTTAGTGTCGTGCATTCTATAGGTTTGGACAAATGTGTATTGCCTTGTATTATTATAGTTTCATTTCCCTAAAAAATCCTCTATGTTCTGTCTGTTCATCCTTCTCTCCCCAGTCTTTTACACAATTTTAAAATTTGGATTAATTTTAGATTTACAGGAAAGTTACAAAGATAATACCAAGTTCCTGTAAACCCTTTACCTAGCTTCCCCTAATGTTAACATCTTCCATAACCAGGAACACTTGTTAAAATCAAGAAACTGACATTGGTATATGACAGTTCACTAAACTCTAGGCTGTTTGATATAACCATTTCCTCCACTAAAGTTCTTTTTCTGTTCCTAGATCCAGTCCAGCATCAGCATTGCATTTATTCGCCCATTTCCTTTGTCTCCTCTCATCTGTGTGAGCTTTCTAATTTGGTCTTGTTTCCACAGTAAGTGTGGTATGTGCATACATGCATGTTTGTGCACACATGTTGGGAAGGTTTAATGTCCTTTGAAAATGCTCTTAAGAGTTCCAAAGCTATGGCCAGTTAAATGGGGTGTGTTTCCAGCATGCGTGTGAGCATTTTGCAACAGCTACCTTCTCTCACCTCTTGTATATTCTTGTCCATTTTGTTGTCTGCCCTCAGTCTCTGAAACTGTCTTTTCTCAGAAGTCTCTCAGTGATGCATTTTCTCAGGGGCTTAGACTTCTTTCCTTAACTGTGGGTGAGGTTTATTGCAGAGTACTTTCAGGCACCTTGCCAGCCGCTCGCGTGCCTGTGATGTCTGTGCAATCAAAACACCCTTAGGTGTGTTTGCAGTCACTACTGTGCCGACTTGGCTCTGGGAGAGCCACTTGGCATCAAACTGGAGAGGAGGGAGAGGTCTGTTTGGGTGTGTTTAACATCACTGCTTTTATTTTTATTTTTATTTTTTTAATATATTTTATTGATTTTTTACAGAGAGGAAGGGAGAGAGATAGAGAGTTAGAAACATCGATGAGAGAGAAACATCGATCAGCTGCCTCCTGCACATCCCCCACTGGGGAAGCGCCCGCAACCCAGGTACATGCTCCTGACCGGAATCGAACCCGGGACCCTTCAGTTCCTCAGGCCGATGCTCTATCCACTGAGCCAAACCGGTCCGGCAACATCACTGCTTTTAAACAACAGGCAGTTTTTACAAGTTTCCTTCTGAATATTCTAGGACGTTTATGTATCAGTGAGTTGAAGCCGAGGCCAGGAAGGAAGTAGAGACACAATGTGCCTGCTCTGCTGGGTGCTGTGCTGAGTGTAGCCCTAGGAAGGAGCATCGAATTCTCTACACAGTAGGTTCCCCTTTCCTGGTTCCTCAGTCACACTAGCAGCTCACTGAGGGCAGCACCTTATTCTCTGATCTATAAATGTACATCAGATTGGAATGCTTAGCAGCAGTTCTCAATCTGTGGGTCGCGACCCCTTTGGTGGTCGAACCACCCTTTCACAGGGGTGGCCTAAGACCATCCTGCATATCAAATATTTACATTACAATTCATAACAGTAGCAACATTACAGTTATGAAGTAGCAACGAAAATAATTTTATGGTTAGGTATGTAACCATAAACCAACATGAGGAACTGTATTTAAAGGGCCAGAAGGTTGAGAACCACTGGCTTACTGGCTTAAGATCCCCAGTGCTTGTCATTGCCCTTTGAATAAACGGAAGCTCCTTACTGTGGCCCCTCAGTGCCTCCTGGCCTCATCACCTCCTGTCTTCTTGACTTCAGCTCTTCTGGTGTCTTTGACCTAACCCCCTGCCATCAACTTGACTAAGACCCTGGCATCTCCTTGAATTCAAAACCCTCTATCTCCTTGACTTTAATCCCTGACCTCAGCCCCTGCCATTCTCCTTGAGCTTAGCACCTCTTATCTTCTGGAGCCCTTTAATTCTTTGAGCACACCTAGCTGCTTTCAACCCCAGGGCCTTGGCTGACCGGTCCCCAGCCTGATGCACCTGTGTTTGCGTGGTGTCACTGAATGGCCACTTCAGAGCAGCTTCCCTGAGCTCTGTCTACAGACAGCTGTAAGGGTAACGCTCATCCTGTGATCTTTGTGGTGTGTCCACTCTGCTTGCACCCCTCCCTCCCATCTCACCGCAACTGGGAACTGTTGTATCACATGTTGTAGGTGAGAAAACATGGCACTGATCCTGGATACCTCCCAGAGTCATGCTGTCCCTTCATCCTTTTATTCTGGAGGCCTGTCTCTCCATGAGAAACCACCTCACAGATTTGGTTGATCATTTGTTTGTGTGTTGATCTGCCTTTCTTAACCACGTCGACATGATGTTGGCTCCATCACATGGGGGCTTGAAGTCATTGTGGTCATCTTCAGCTTTGGTAGAATTTATTTGGGGATGGAAGCTAATGTTGGAGCCTGCTGTGTGCCAGGCCTGGCATAGAGTCATGAGAGGTACACCGTGTCTTTTCTTCACCAGAGACCATAGGCAGTTTTCCTCCTGGTGTAGAATTATTTTCAAGCCCATAGAATAATCTCATAAGGTGCCTATCTAGTGAACATTGAGGTGGCTTCCAAGTCTTTGGTCTCCTGCTGGGTTATTTTAGCAGGGGTGTGTGTGCAGAGGTTCCACATCCGCAAATTGTCCCCCTCCTATCAGAGGGGTCTTGGCTGGGCCCTGTTTCTCCTCTGGATTTGAAGTTTGTGGAGACTACCACCTTTATTCTGTGTTTGAATCTGTGACAGAGCCTCAGATGGGGAGCCGTCTTTGGCTTCTGCTCCCAGCTGTGCCTTGTGGGATGGCTTCAGAGAGCAAATTCTTGTCTTCTTACCACAGGTCATCGACCCGGCCAGAGGTGGCCAGCATCGAGCCACTGGGCCCAGACGAGCAACAGTGCTCCCAGAAGGCGGTGGTGCAAGCCCGTCTGTCCCAGCCTGCCCGCCTGACCAGCATCATCTTTGCAGAGGACATCAGTAAGGGCTTTGAGTGTCCTGTGTGGTCCCTGGGGGAAACCATGTAGCAAACATCCCACTGAGAGCCCAGCCATAAATGCCACTAGAATCCATGGCAGTGCTCTCTATTTCTCCTGTTGGGTCAGAGGACACCCAGGCAGGATAGGGACACTGAGCAAGCAACATCATTACCCTGGTCCCTCCTGCCAGCACTTTGTACAGTTTTCCCTGTCATGGAGGCTGGCTTTCATTTCTAAATTAGTATTTATTACGCAAATAACTCATAATGAGTATTGAATCAAAATGAAGAAAGTTGTTGTAATCCTTTCACTTCCCCTATTTAATTTACCATATTATGGTTGTAAAATGCTTAAAAATAATATAATTTTCTGTCTTGCTTTTCTTCCACCTAACATGATATGAACAGTTTTTCATCTCATTATAGAATTAATAGCTGAGTTATATTCTTAACAGGAAGTTGTCCTGTAATTATTCCTTACATTGGACATGTATGTTGTTTTTAGATGTTTATTTCAGTGTTACATAGAAAAGTAAAAATTCTTATTCAGAGAATTATTATGGGTTCTGTTAGCCATTTCCAGCTAATGATAGATTCCCAGTTTTACTGGGTCTCGCAGCATGTGAATATTTTTAAGGTTTTTGATATGGGGCTGTATTGATTTCTAACGAAGTACATTAATAGTGCACATGAAGTTTCATATGGTGCCTGGAGAATGGTCAGAGTGATTTTGAGTCACATGCTGTTATTTTTGCACTAGGGAGTTCTCCAGCTAATACCATTTATGTGTCTTATTTGTGGAGCAAGTAAAACATCTGTGCTCATGGGAACACAGTCCTTTTCTTCTGCTGTAGAGCTGATAGTCTTATGTAAAAACACCAGTGTACATCAACAAACACCACCAGGCAGAATTCCTAATCTCACTGTAGGGACAGGCATCAGAACAGTACTATCTTTTTGGATGCTCACTCATCGTACTATATGTCATCTGACATAATGACTATGCCCTGAAAGTACAGTGTTTCCTTAGAGGAGTGTTCTGCACACAGCTTTAAATGCTGGTGCTCATGTTGGAAAGGCACACAGTGGGCAGTGAGCATGCCTCTAAAGTGCTTACTCTTTGAAAGTCCATGCTGACTTTCAGAAGAGCGTGTGCTGGTCAGCTGCTTGCCTTCTGAGGCTTAATTTGGTTCTTCCAGCCCTGTTTTGTGGTGCTTGTTTTGTTGGCTGCTCTAATCTTTGCCAAAGTGTAAAACCACCTGACCTGCAAAGCCCTGGAGGTGGGTGGCAGTCATGCCCTGGCACTCCATCTGAACCCCAGGGTCCTGTCCCTTTAGCCACAGGCCAGGTCCTGCGCTGTGATGCTATCGTTGACCTCATCCATGGCATTCAGATTGTCTCCACGACCCGCGAACTCTACCTGGAGGACTCGCCCCTGGAGCTGAAGATCCAGGCTCTGGACTCTGAAGGTGAGGACATCCTCCTGGCAGTCTCTGTTTCTCTCTTCCCTGTGTCCAGTCCTACCATTCCACACAGAAGGCTGCTCCAGCCAGGAAAGTGAGGTTGGTGATGGGGATGGGAGGAGGCTTGAAGAGCTCTGGACTACCTGGGAGGTAAACCCCAGGCCCTTGGTGTCAGGGATGCCATGGCCACTCTTGTTTACTGGTCTCTGTAGTAGGGCTGGTGAGGTGAGAGCTTTTGTAGCCTCTGGAGCCTGACTTCAGGCATGTGCATAGGGATTGTGTTTGGTAAAGGCACCTCTTTGAAAAGTGACATCTGAGTGATGAGAAGCTGGGATAGGCTCCTGTGTTACTAGGTTGTAAACAGTGGGAGGCATTCTCCTTGCTTGGCTTTGAGTGCTGGTATGACTTCCTGGTCCAGATGGCAGATTGTGTGTGTGTTTACTTCTGTGTGTGTGTGTGTGTGTGTGTGTGTGTGAGAGAGAGAGAGAGAGAGGGAGCGAGGGAAGGAGAGAGAGAGAGAGAGAGAGAGAGAGAGAAACAGATAGACTCTGGCACACATGTATACTGCTGTCCTCATGTAGTATCTTTCTTCATTTTATCAGAATCGAATACTGAATTGTTCTTAGATCTATTCTGGCAGTCGTCAGACTATCTTCACTGTAGCCTGACCTTGTGGTAAAGGAACAAAGGGAAATTTTGTAGGTTAGATTATTTTTCTTTTCCTTTTAAATTAAATTTAATTAATTTATTTATAAAATTATTTGTCAATTACAGTTGACATACTTTAATTTTCTCAATTACAGTTGATAGGCCGTGTTGTCAATACATCAGAATGGCCAAGGCCGCTCTGAGCATGAGACCAATTAGGGTGCCCAAGGCCAAGATACCATGAATAGCTGCAAGGCCACAGTGATCTCACAGTACGGTACGCTGTGCCTTTCTGTAACCCAAATGATTGATGTCGCTGTTGGCAACTAGCCTTCTTTGTCTCTGGAGTAATATACAGGTTACTGACCAGGAGTCTGCTAGAGAGAGAGAGAGAGCAGCTGGGAGAGGAGTGTGTGGAGAAGCAGAGGCGGTAGGCACAGACAATGTAGCTTGTATGTGTGCTGGAGAGGCTAGAGGGCTCAGATGGAGTTGAGAGCTGATACTGGTACGATGGAAGGCTAAGAGCTCACAGAGAGCTCAGACATAGCCACCATGTTAATCATCCAGTGTGCTGGGACAATGAAGCTTAGAAGTAGTTACTATGTGAGGCTACAGAGACCAGCCAGTGTGCTGAGTAGGAGAGACAGGAGAAGCTGCTGAGCCAGAGAGCTGAGATACCACTATGATGCAAAGCAGTAAGTTTAGAGGCAGCATTCGGCTGCTCAGATAGTAACTGTGGGTACAGAGACTGATGCTACTTTATGGGAAAGATATGTACTTACCAGCTGGTGTCCAGCTGCCTGCCTGTATGGACTTTGCCGTGAAGAATTGTCGTGTCTAATGGCTGTATGGCCACTGGTTTCTGCAATAAAGACGCGTTCTTATATACCCACAACCTCTCATGGCTTCTCCATCTGCCCCACGAATTGACCTGTGTAACTAGTGAGCAGAGGATAAAGGAGGAACTTGGACTAAGTTCCCAACAGTTAGTACAGTGGGCAGGGTTCGAGGAAGAATTAGCCCTGTTCTTGGCTTAGTTGAATGGGAAGAATTTAGAAGAATATATGGACTCAAGCCACTCAGAGCATCAGATCTAAAAAAGGAAGGGATTTATAAGTACACAGTTACAAAATAGTCATGGGGATGTAAAGTAGAGCATAGGGAATACAGTCAATAATATTCTAATAACTGTGTATGGTGCCTGGAGGGTACTTGAAATATCAGGGGGATCACTTTGTCAAGTGTATGATTGACTAACCACTATGCTGTACACCTGAAACTAATACAGAATAATATTGAATGTAAACTGTAATCGAAAAATGAAATTTGACTTCTGATCAAGATGACAGTGTAGGTAAATGGGATATTTGCCTCCTCTCAAAATTACATGTAAACTACAGAATAGTCATCACCACCTGAAATCAAGCTGAATGGAAGTGCTACCACTAGGGGATTAGAGAAGAAGCCCCATCGAAGCTGGTCGGGGCAGAGATGTGGAATGGGCTGGTCCCACACCCACATGTGGTGGACAAAAGTCCAGAGGGATAGCTCAGCTGCAGAGGTCCCCACTGAAGAGTGAGGGGTCCAGCCCCATACCAGCCACCGCACCCCCCTCTCCAGGTTCCAGTGCAGGAAGAGAAGTCTCTACCACTTATGACTGTAAAAACCAGCAAGGACTGAAGCTGAGGAAGGCGGAGGCTGCTGGAATCCCAGGAGGTTCCTTGCAAGCATGTCAAACTCGTGGCGGGCCATAAGTTTGACATGCTTGTCAGGTTCTGCACAGCCCTGGCTAGTGTGGCTCAGTTGGTTGGAGTATTGTCCTGTTACACTGAAAGGTTGCAGGTTCTATTCCCAGGCAGGGCATGTACCTAGGTTGCAGTTTGAGCCCCAGTCAGTGGGTATACAGGAAGGTAACTGATGGATGTTTCTGTCTTGCATTGATGTTTCTCTCTGTCCTCTCCTTCTCCTCTCTCTAAGATCAATAAACATGCCCTGGTATGAAAATGAAAATAAATAAATAAAATAAAGGGCCTGCACATGGACTTAGTCAGATTCACTATCTCTGAGCTCCAGCACTCAGGCAGCAACTTAAGGCACCAGAGGCAAATGGGGAGGAAGTGAATTGTCCAGCATTAGGATGAGAACTGGGATAGGCAACTTTCTCCAGACAGAAGTGCTGGCAGAGGACATTGTTCCTTTGATGAGCCTTCCCCCCACAGAGCCAACAGGCCAGAGCCACTCTTTGCTCCATCCTAGTGATTTCCCCACCACACCCAGCTTTCAGGCCCACCCAAGCTGTTTCCAGTGGCCTTTCCATACTACTGGCCTGTTTTGGCTCATGCTTCAGATTTTTCTAAAATTTCTCAAGCAAGTAGCATCTGCCCGCAGTGAGCCTGTACCCCCTCTCTAAGTGGCCCCAAGCCCGGCACTAGCAGCAGCTTGCCTTGCTTCACAGCTTGGCTCTCCTGGGCACCTCCAAGTGCAGCACAAGTAGCAGCCATCTGTAGTTCACTTTGTAGCTCATGCTGGGTGGCCCCGGGCAGAACACTGGTAATGCCTGATCTTGGCCTGCACCTCCCAGGAGACCCCAGAGCCAGTGCACCCAGTGGACAGATTCAGATCAAATCAAAGCACTGCCACCCAACCACCTTGATAAGCAACACACTTAAGGGGTGGACTCAGCAGGTACCAGAACCCTGCTGAAGTAAGTCCTGCTCTGTGGGATGGGCCCCTGCATAGCTGATCCTCCAGGGTGGTTGGAGGTTGGTGGTCACAGCCAGTCCTTGCAGCTGATTGGCCTGAGGGAGTAAATCCCTCCCATTGACATGCCAACAGCAGTTGAGGCTCAACTACAAGAGGAGGGTGTACAAAGCCCACACCAGCATGTACCTTTGAGTTCCCAGATTTTGGTGGTCAGGGAGGCTGTGCCATGGGACCCTACAGAACACCTGCTACATTAGGACACTCTACAAGCCTGGGAGATGTAGCAGCTCTACCTAATACATAGAAACAAGCACAGGGAGGCTGCCAAAATTAGGAGACAAAGAAATGTGGCCCAAATGAAAGAACAGAGCAAAACTCCAGAAAAAGAACTAAACCAAATGGAGACAAGCAATCTGCTAGATGTAGAGTTGAAAACACCAGTTATAAGGAGGCTCAGTGAACTTAGTGAGAACTTCAACAGCATAGAAAAAAGGACATGGAAATCATAAAAAGAACGTTAGAATGAAGGATACATTCACTGAAATGAATAATTACAGAGAGTCAACAGTAGAGTAGATGAAGCCAAGAATCAAATCAGAGATTTGGAATATAAAGAAGCAAAAAACACCCAGTCAGAACAGCAAAAAGAAAAATGAATAAAAAAAATGAGGACAGTGTAAGGAGCCTCTCAGACAACTTTAAGCACACCAGCATTTGCATAGTGGGGGTACTGGAAGAAGAGAGAGAGAGCAAGAAATTGAAAACCTATTTGAAAAAATAATGACAGAAAAATTCCCTAACTTGGTGAAGGAAAGAGACACAATGCCCTGGAAGCAGAGAGGGTCCTAAACAGGATGAACTTAAAGAGGCCCACACCAGGACACATCATAATCTACACTAAGAAAAGACAAAGATGCTAATTGACCATACCTCTGCTATGCCCAAGCCTTGCCCACCAGCCAATCAGAGCGACTGTATGCAAATTAACCCAACCAAGATGGCAGCTGGCAGCCACGGAGCTGGAGCAAGCAGGAGGCTTGGTTGCCCCGGCGATGGAGGAAGCCAAGCTTCCCACCTGCCCT